GAATCTACACCTATGTTTATAAAAAGAGAGTATTTTTTGCATAAACAAGCAGGGTACTGAAATACAACTTAAAGGGGACTTTAGGCCTAGAAGCTTACAGCCCTTTACCAGTAGAGCTAAAAGATAGCATTTCCTTTCCATGACATAATGCAAGTGAGAAAACAAACTCAGCCTCATTCTTTTTTAAAGACATAATGATGCCAAGTGTTTGCCTGTCAGTAACAATAGGAACCCCACACTTTTGCCAGATTTACATTACCTGTCAAAAGGAAATATTTTTCATACTGTCAACTAGAAGTCACTTTCCAGTTGCATGCCTCCAATTAACTGTATAATACTCACTCATGTATTTATGACTTTCAAAAAGTAACGTTTATTCTGGAGTCACTTTTCTGTGGTTTATGGATAAACTAATTCATGTTGCAATAAATATATAACTGACCAGGAAATAGTTCTATGAATCCCAAATCCAAGCATCCTTAGATCAAGAGTTTTACATTATGCTTCCATTTCTGAAACTGTCTTCATGCTTCTGTTCCTCTGATAGACTATGAATTGCTTTTAAGACCTGCAACTAGAGATATTTGCACTTCATTTTACCTTTCCATGCTAATTTGTTTCCATAGCTGGTGCTGTATTTTTGTTAAGTACTTGGTTTTAGACCTGTGTATGGTTGCTTATTTCCTTATCAACAAATCTGGAGCGATCATACTGGATGATGGCTTTAAGGAAATAAAATGCTTCACAACTGGGGACATCAGAACAAAATAATTCATCCTAGGTTCTCTCAGGCACAGCATAACTTTCAAGCCTGAATTAAACACACACACAGACATGGATCTGAAATGACTAACCACTTTTATTACACAGAAAATTAGTATGTGGCTTTGCACACAGAGCTACGTCTGTTGCGTAATTCTAAATTTGATCCTTAGTTCTATGCCCACACGTCTAACATGCAGGTCCTACTAAGATGTATAACCAGCTCTTAAATATTTGTTCCCTAGGACTTTGAAACAAAGAATGAAAAAGAAGCATTTGTCTAAATAATTCATGGAAATTGATTGGTCTCCAGCATCTAGCAACATGGGTACCCAGTGAAACCCAGCACAGCAGCTTGCTTTTCAACCACCTCAAATGCAAGCAGAACACACAACCCAACAGTAAAACAAACATTAAAATATTTTTCATTTCAAAATATTTGGGAATATCTGTTACCTAAATGCCAACACTCCGACTGACATTACAAAACACAGGGTTTTCACCAACTTTTTTGCCAAACCGTTATATCTATAGGCTGATCTGGCATTGTTTCAGACCTTTTAATAAACTGCATACAAAATAAATGCACTTCTAAGTTCTCAGACCCTACAACATTTTGGCAGCCATGCTTCAAAAGGACACATTTCAATTAATATTTTATCCAGTTTTGTCTTTAATCCAATTTATTCAGTTTTGAATCTAAACCCAAAGTCTTAAAAGAAACAATGCTTTCCATTTTGTTCCACTCTAGAAAAGATTCAATTCTGGCGATATATGGGGACATGTTTTGTACCATCCCATCGCTCATGACCTACAACAATCTAGGGAGATTTCAACAAAGGTTACAACCAAATATTAAGGAGGTGAAAGAGAAATATATAAGTTACTAATAGCCTAGAGTGTTAAATTGGTAAAGTTCTTCAGCTGATACACATTATCTATATCCTGAAGTCTCCCACAAAGAGTCCATAGAAAAAAAAATAAACCTCAGATATTACACAAGTTGGACTTAAAAGTGATGGAGCACACACCTTATTATTTGAAAAACATCAGTGAAGGTAATAACGAGAAGTAACTAAATCATTCCGGAATCCGAAAAAAGATAATGGAAATTCCTAGCACCAAAGCTTATTTCTCTTAAAGAAAGCCTGTAATGTTGTGGTAAATTAAAGTTTAAAAAAAAGCTACACAAAGGAAACTTCTAGATCTGGTTTTGCTGCTCCGTTGTTCTTGTCTAAGGCTTGAGGAAATTTATGACTTCCTCCTCCTGCTTGTGCCACTAAGAAATCTTCCAGAATACAAGTCTCCTAAATCCTCTGCCTACAAATATATGTACCTTTAGGTGATTTGGCTAAAAATGCACAACCTTTTGTTTGGGGGCAGGGAAGAGTCCTCCGAAACCTACTTTTTTAAAAAAATGCCCTTCTACAATGGCTATAAAAAGTACATTCATGCTTCTCTGCTATTTATATTGCATAGGAAGAAGTCCTGAAAATCGGCAGCAGGCATTTCTGCATGTTTTGTACCTCAGAAATATAAGTATGCCAAGAATTTTCATCTCTGGTTTCACTGTAGAAATCCTCAGATTTCTAGGAACAGGAGAGGGAAAAATTGTCTCATTCCTCTGCTAGAGACCATACTGTAACACATCTACTATGGTAAATAATAAGCATTTGTCAGGAGTTTGAATTAAACAATGACAGAAGATTATTTTTTTTTAAAGGCATTTGAATAAAAAGCTTTTGCAATTCTCAATTTTTGAGAATAACCTGAGAACCTGGAGATAACATTTTAGCATAAAAGATGTGGAAAATCTTCTTTTAAAAGGAAAAAACCCAATAAAATAAAAAAATATACAGGCCTATTTCAGATCATTTTTATATGCCACAAAGCAGTAATAAAGAGCAAAACAGATCTTTTCTTCCAATGCAGATCATCATTTGACTGTTAGAGAACGTGCTACTGAAACGGAAAGGCTGGTATTTCATGTAAGTAGTATTTCAAAATTTGCACTTTACAGCTATTTCACTGGAAAATGGTGGAGAGAGTAATATAATCTCAACAGGCAAGTACTCCCACACGTTGTCTCCATGTGAAAATCTTGAGGCTATCAACCACCAGCTGCCCACTGACATTAGCAAAAAACTAAAGCCTTGTGTTACAGCCAAGTGAACTTTTCTTTAGGTCAACACAAAGATTTACTGGCACTCAGAAGAGTATACACCAACTTCAAGGTAAAAAGAGTTTGACGCAAATATCTGAGATAGCCCTATCAGCTCCTCCCACCTGAATTGGCTTCTCTTGTCTAAGTCAACTAATGCACAACTCAATAGCCTTGACTTACTGTGAGATGTGAGTTATAGGGGTCAACAGTGTCTCACCCTCCAGGTCAAGCTCATCAGCAAAGCTGTTGGTCCTGATGAAGGGTCCTGTGTTCACATCTAAAAACGTCGGGCTTTTTTTCACTGTGAGGAAACATGCAGATAACAGTTAAGGCAATAGCATTTGGCTTTTTTTGAGAAAGGTCTACCACTCATTTGGATCTCTGAAATACTGTACATTTCAACAGAATTTTGAAAACAGAGCTTACTACAAAAAAATTGCATATACCACAGAGTTCATGAAAAGTAAAATTTCAGCTCTTCTTCTACCCAAAGAATTTCAACTTCTGCTGAAGACTTAAAGCTACTCTTTTTTTTTTTTCTTTTGGTTCATATTCCTCATACACTAGAATGTAGAGTATCTATATCACAGGCAGCTTCATGCATTATAAATCTTACTGTACAATACTCAGCCATACCATGGACTCTATAGCAACAGCGCACGAGTGCAATTCGATGACAAGATCAGGTCCTTTTCATATCATCTCTGCTTCATGTTTTAGTTTATAATACCAGTTTCTGAGGTGCAGTTAGTGTGACTAAGATCCAGAAACCAGGCCTAGATCAACAAAGGGGTCTAGACATTTTCAAGGTGAGCAGTCAGCTCCTGTCCTGCACTGTCTGAGCCAGTCTACTGGTTCCCAATCCCTCTCATACTTAGGCACAAGGATGCCTCATCGATGAGCCCAGACATGACACAGGTGACAAGATGATCCATTCATCCAAGATGAGGTCCTTCGTGGGAAGGCCATTTCACAAAACTTCAGATATTGCAAGTTTTTAGTGGCAAAGGTACTTGTTAACCAACACTTCCAAGTTGCATCCAAGAAATTAGGCAGAGTATCGTAGATTTCATTTTTAAACTCAGGCTCCTAAATTCTGCCAGACTCTAACATTAAGAACCCTAAGTGCTTTTTCCAGCATAATCCTAACAATTGTTAGAGAAGCCACAAAATTTGCATATAAATAAAACCACTATCATATTTATACTTGCACTTGTAAATGAATTTTATAGATAATAAAAGCAACAAGTAAAATTCTGTCGAAATCATAGGTAGATTGTGATGCTTCCATAGAAATCTTTATCTGTGCAACTGGCTGGATCATTCAGTGAAATAATTATAGTGTTGTAATTTATGAAATCTCTACTGTATTAAATAAAATACTTTATGATATAACAGTAAATAATGTCCTGCCAAAATGCAACAGGAAAGCTAAAGGAATGCAGCAGAAATAGCTAACTTAAATGCAGCTGAATTTAATGAGAAGTGGGGATATCAGGAAACAAATTTTTTTTTCAAAATGCAATCATTTTACTCAAGTAAGTAGATATCTTCATGTGGCAGAAATGGATTTGAACTTTTACAAACAAGGAGAAGAGAAAGCGTTATTATATCATTAGGCACACGGCCATTCAAAATTACAATGGGAAAGTTTGCTCTCCAGAAATTGTAATAGGAGAGGAAGACCTCTGAAATCACAGTTTAAAAAAAAAAAAAAAAAGACACTACTGCCAGGAGATGAAGTTATATTTTAAAGACAAATTAAAAACATGAGACACTTGCAGCACTTTAAAATTAAAATTCTATAGTAAGTTTTAGCAAATGTTAGCTTCCTATATTTTGTTTTAGTGTCATGGTATTTAATCACTTCACTGTAGCCATCATCCAAGACAGTGCCTGTGAAACAAGCAAAATAATTCCAGATTCAGATATGCAGCAAAATGTCTTTAAAACAGACTCCTTTGGCTTCCACTAAATCAGTTTTCAATGTTTTCATTTCTGCAAGATATAAATGAAACTTTCCTGGTTTCTAGGAAACAGCCTTTTTAGTTTTCCTGATGACAAGTTTTTTTTTTGAACCTAAAACCACATGAAGTGTTTGCTGAACACTCACTGAACTGTGCTTATGAGAGATACAATACACAAAGTACACAAGTGGATTTGCAGAAACAGCTATTCTTGGATCATTCACAGTTTTTGCTTTTCAGTTTCATGGGAGGGGAGAGAAGGAGTGGCACAATGAAAAAGGAACAAGAAGTCAAGAGTGTATCTCAGCCTATCTGAGAATACAGAAATGAAGAGCTGCTTAATATGAGGCAAACATGGTATCTCCCTCTTTTTATTTTAAAATTTTCTAAGATCATAACTAAGATTGGTCAGTTCTGGTGACCGGTGCAGGCCTCTGCTCTTTATGTTCTCATTCTTAAATATATGTTGCTGCTTCCAATATAAAGGAGGAATCGCTCCAAATACTACCAATGCAATCTGCCTGCAGAGAGAAGGGAAGGGACCAAGGAAAGAACACGGTATTAATTACAGTTTCCCTGCCACAAAATGCCTTGAAGCAAGGCTGTGCTGGTTTTGGCTGGGATAGAGTTACTTTTCTTCATAGTAGCTATTGTGTGGCTGTGTTTTGGATTTGGGCTGGAAACAGTGTTGATAACACAGGGATGTTTTCGTTACTGCTAAGCAGTGCTGACACAGAGCCAAGGCTGCTCCTCACACCACCACACCAGTGAGTAGGCTGGGGGTACACAAGGAGCTGGGAGGGGACACAGCTGGGACAGCTGACCCCAGCTGGCCAAAGGGATATTCCATACCATATGACATCATGCTCAGCATATAAAGCTGGGGGAAGAAGATGGAACAGGGGGATATTCAGAGTGATGGTGTTTGACTTCGCAAGTAACTTACACATGATGGAGTCCTGCTTTCCTCGAGATGGCTGAACACCTGCCTGCCCATGGGGAGTGGTGAACGAATTCTT